AATATATTTCTATAAATACATTTTTAAATGTGTAGAATATAAAATATAGAAAATATAAATATATAATACATACATATAACAATAAATAATTACCCATTTATTATCTAAATAAAATATAAACAAGAGATTGGCTACTAGGAAGTAAAGAAAACTCTAAAGAAGATAGATATAAGGAACATCCACATCCTTTAGGGCTGAGATGGAACACCAAGGTACAGGTGTGGCCCTCCTTCCCCGCTCCCCCTCCATTGAGAGCCAAACCTTGTTGGAGAAGGCACTGCCACGGCTCACTGAATGGGAGGAACCTGATGGAAATCCACCCTCTGGAATTTGGGGGAAATCCACCCTCTCAGGTGCCACGGAAAAGCCACTCATGGGGTGGTGCTTCTCTAGAGGCCCTCTGCTACAGTTGCCTACCCACAGGAACCAAACTGCAAAATCCTTTCCCTGCAGTGTCTCTCCAGCTTGGTCTATTGACAAAGCTTAACTTAGTTCCACTTGGCAAAGGAAAAGTATTTAAAGGGCCCAGACACATTTTTACAGATGAGGCATCAAGGAGGAATTTGGAGCTAAGAGTGAATAAAATCAATAATTGGCACAAGAATGATTCTGTAATATCTTTAGGGACTGATAACACTGATAATTTCAGGCTGGTAGTGTCCAAATAACAGCCAGTGCGGGCCCTCCTGGGTCTGCAAGCTGCCGTGTGTCCACTATACAGCAGTAATTCTGAAAGTGTGGTTCCTGGGCCAGCAATGTCAACGTCACCCGGGAACTTGTGAGAAATGCAAATTCCGGGCCCTACCCCAGACCTACTGAATTACAAAGTCTGGGGTTGGAGCCCAGCAATCTGTGTTTTAACAAGCCCTCCAAGTGACTCTGACAGCATGCTGAGGTTTGAGAACCACTGGTGTTGTCACAGTAAGGTCTAGGAACTTGCTGTGCAGGCTTGAAGGGAAGAGTCAATAGGATTTTCCTTGTATGAGTTTTAGTTTCAATTTTTAATCTTGAAGAAGACAACCCAACTTATCTGGGATCTGGAAGCTAGCAGGGAGCATATTATTATATCTCTATTTTTGCATTGACGACATGTTTCTGGACTTAGGGGCCTGACTGCATAGATATGCTCATTTTGGTAAGAAATTCTGTTTTTGGTGTTCTCTTATCTGCAGGTCATGCTACCTTGATTAGGACCCCAAAGCTGCTATTGCAATTTTCATCTATTTCTGTGTGCACAGAAGTGGAGAGTAATGCCTATTCAACCTTTTCCATATCCTTGCTTTTTCCTAACTCTCCACCAGGGATGGAATATTGAAAGAACAGCTGAAGCCACAAAGCTAAGGTCAGCACAGCCAGACAGTGGCATGGAGCTCACGAGCTCACTGCTGCTCCTTGCTCCACGGATAACCTCAGGAGCTGGCTTGCCTCCTTGGCTAGGCTGCCATAGCCCAGAAGAGAAAGCTTCATTTTTCCTTGACGCAGCTCTCACCTTTCCAGGCTCCTCAGTTTGCTCTCTTCAAAGGAGAGAGGGAGAGATGATGTATTCTAGCAGCCGATTTTTCTGCCATTCTTTGCTTTAAAATTAAAAATGTGTGTGTATGCATTGCGTGGTGTAGGGATTGTGGTCTGGCCCCGGTCCCACCACTAACTAGCTGCATGGGGTTGGGCAGGGCACCAGCTCTGGTTTTGATTTCCATACTGAAATACAGAGCGTTGGACCAGCTGATACTGCTCCAACATTTTATGATTTGATGTACTACCACCAGCATATCCTTAAAAGGTAAATTGTGGGGCTTGAATCTCACCCTTTAGTGTAATAGACGATGCATGAGGTCCTCTTTTAAACTCCCTCCTCTGAGTTTAACATTAAGCACAATGAAACCTTCCTATAGCAAATTCATCCTAAAGGGATTGAGGAAATTTATGCACAGAAAGTAAAGACTTCAGCAGATTTGCTCCCTTATAGTATATAGATACAATATCCCCTTAACTGCTTTGATAAGATTAACTATAATGTGAAACTGCACATACTGAAATGAAGCACCGGTGTTCTTTATTTCAAATTCCGGACTTATTTCTCACTGATAGTAATAAGCAAAAAGATTTATTTCTTCCCAAAATGATTTGAATGTTTCCATTTTTAATATCTGTTAAGGTTGTTCTCCCCGCCCCCCAAGATAAAGTCTTTCTCTGACCTATTTTCACATGCTGAAACAGGGGGAAAAGTCAAGGGTAACGATTTGCAATCAGCAGAGACATGCCTCTCTGTGGAGAAGAAGAAGGTATCTCAGAAATTCTTGGAAATGAAGGTTGAAAAATCATATTTAGACTTCTACTCTAAAAAAAAAATTCCTACTGTTTTGATAACAGTAATTTGGAATTACAGTAATCCAAGCTTGATAAAACCATGGCCAGAGAGAGTATGCAGAAAAAAAGGTTGTGGTAGACACTGCCAGTTTCTTACCTATTTCTTCCTCCTTCCTTGCTAAAAGAGGCTTTTGTTCCGGTGGCAACATCCCCAGGCAATGAATCATAATTGGTCCAAATCTATCACCACATCCTCTTCCCAGCCTCCCTTGCAGTGAGAAGTGGCCATGTGAGCCAGTTCTGGCCCCTGAGACATAGGGGCAAGTGTGTTGAGGACACCGTCGGGTGATTTAGGAAGGCATGTGACTGTCTGTGCCTCTCTACAGCTATCTTCCTGCCTTGATAGCTGACACTATGCCAGGAGCTTCCGCTGCCTTCCTGTGACCTCCAGGAGATAGGGCCACAGTCAAGGATGAAAGATCTGGCTTTTTCATGACATTTTTGTGTTGCTGCTAAAGTAGGGTTGCCAGGTAAAATATAGGACATCCAATTAAATTTGAATTTCTGAAAAACAGCAGTTTTAAATATGTAATGTTTAGGACTGACTTATACTAAAAAGTTATTTATAGTTTATCTGAAATTCAAATTTAACTGTGTCCTCTAAATTTTTTCCCCCGAAATCTGACAACTCTATGTACAAACCCTGGAATGCCTGCTTTGGAGTTTTTTGTTATGTAAAAAACAAACAAACAAACAACCCAGTGAGTGTAAGCTATTAATCAATAATATATTGCTTGCATGTGAACTCATTCCTGATATAATAGTTATTTATAAAAAAGTACCCAACATTTTTGTGTGTGTTCATCATGGGCCAGACACTGTTCTAGTTAGCAGGGACGTGTTTGTAGCTAAGTCACAGAGGCAGGTCCTGCCTTCCTGGAGCTTGTCGTCTAGCTGCAGAGACCCACTAACCGAGTGATTCTGTGAGTGGCGGTATGATTGCAATTATGATGAGTGCTCTGAAGAAAAAATCGGGGAACTTTGAGAGCACCTATGGGGGGTCAGGGAGGGCCTCCCTGAGGTGGGATTTTGGGGGCGATCTGAAGGGAAGCATTGTGGAAGTTTGCTACAAGCACTGGGAGCAGCATTTGTGGCCACCCCGAGGCAGGAATGGTCCTGGTACATTTGAGGAGAGGAAGCCCCAGTGGCTGAATAGCCGTGGGTGGGGTGATGGGAAGTGAAGGTTGAGAGGTACACAGAAGCTAGAACAGGGAACGCCGTGGAGGCCATATTAGGACTTTTGGGGGCCGGCCCCGTGGCGTAGCGGTTAAGTGCTCGCACTCTGTTGCAGGCGGCCCGGGTTCAGATCCCAGGTGCGCACCAATGCACCGCTTGTCAAGCCATGCTGTGGCGGCGTCCCATATAAAGTGGAGGAAGATGGGCACAGATCTTAGCCCAGGGCCGGTCTTCCTCAGCAAAAAGAGGAGGATTGGCATGGATGTTAGCTTAGGGCTGATCTTCCTCACAAAAAAAATAAATTAAAAAAAAAAAACTTACAAAAAAAAAAGACTTTTGACTTTATTCTTCTTCTATACTACACACCCATACTAAGTACTGTTGATATCCCCATCTCAAAAAGAGGAAATCAGTACTTTAAATAGCTTGATCAAAGTCATATAGCTATTAAGTGGATAACTGTGATTTGAGCCCAGGTTTGGTTTTTTTTGTAGTGTGTGACCAAAAAACTCCCTAATCATCAGAATGCAAGCTAGTCAGAAATATAGAAATAACGAGAGATAATCAAATGAGTCTGTAGAGAATGTTTAAAATTAATATAACAATATATTTTATATTTCTAAGGACTGAGAGGGGTGTGAGCCATCTGTTTGTTATTAATAAACAAAAAGTTGATCAGTACAGTAGATAATTTAAATTCTGGCATTGAAGGAGGCCTCAAAAAGTTACACAATTCAGATCTTTTCAATGCAAGGTCCCCTGTATTACATATCATTGAGGTAACTTATTTCTGTGACTTTAGACCATTGGTTTGAGAAAAACAAAACACAGGAAAAAACCTCCTATTTGTAACAAAGTCTCAACATAAGCTACATGATGATCCAGTGGTTTTAGACACATGCAAAAAACAATAACAGCAGCAACAACACACAAAAAAGATACTGTAGTAAATTGTTGATTTATTCAATGTGACTGCTACTCCTGGTAATACCATTATTTGTAGAAGGTGGGCACTGGCATGGGATGATAACCAATATTTTTAAAAAAGTAAAAATAGAAAAATATCAGAGTGCATTGTATATCAGGTAAATGTTTTGTGATACTTGATGTGTGTGTGTATACATACACATACATCCATACACATACACATATACATACACACATATAGACACATACACACAAACACACACACAGTAGATTGTACATATACTGGATTGTGATGTAAATCTTATTTCTTACTCTGGGTCTCATTCAGCAAAGTCTGACAATCACTGGTCTAGAGGAACCGACTCACCGTGAGCTATGCTATATCTACGCATTCCTTGAAGTGAGAACAACTCATTAAGGTAAATTCCTGTCCACTGTCATGGACAACTATGTCCTGTTCCGAATGTTGGGGAAATCATGTGTGATAGAACAAACAAACAAAACAACAGCCGTCACTGTACCCATGTACATATTGTATCTTGGTTAAGGTTCTTGATTATATTCCTTTGAGTTTCCTAATTCACCCCAGGAAGAATTTGGTGCATTCCATCTTTATGCTGTTACTTGCAGACCTTGGAAATAAAGATAGAAAGGAAATTAATGGAGAATTCCAATTCTCATTTTATTAAATCTTCACAGTAACAAGAGTAAATCTAAGGATGTTAAGATTAAAGGGATTCCAGAGCTAGAAGTGCTGGTTTTCCGTAAAGAACTAAATAGAGTCCAAGTCTTATTCTTTTAATGCTTGCATTAAATTTAAGCCTAACTTAAGATATTAGATATTCAATATCATTTGCAACTGGTATAATAATCCTTGACTTCAAGGAATGAAATAGTTTGAGAACTAGAATATCCCAAAGTGTGAATGGTTGCAGTAGAATTCTTGTCTGGGAGTGTTATCCTTGATTTGAGGAAAGAAGTATTTTTACCTTGAATCTTTTTCTTAAACCAAGGAAGCCTAGCTGAATATTTGGTGACTTTGGCTTAGAACTTGATGATAAACATACCACATCCTTATCACACAGCTCATGTTGGAGAAACCCACATATTTTTGTATAGTATTTAATCTTTGAAGTATGTAAAATGTAAAAATGATTATACCCTTTGACCAAGCGAGTGCTACTTCTGAAAATTTTTAATATAATCAAGAAGAAAAAAACAGCAATATGTGCAGATATTTTTATAGCACGTTATTTGCCAATGTGAAAAACTTGTAACAACACTAAATATCCAACAATTGGGAAAGGGTTCAATAATCTTATGTTAATTTTATTTTTTTTTATTTTTTATTTTTTTAAAGATTTTATTTATTCATTTTTTTTCCCCCCAAAGCCCCAGTAGATAGTTGTATGTCATAGGTTCACATCCTTCTAGTTGCTGTACGTGGGACTCGGCCTCGCGTTGGACGGAGAAGTGGTGCCCTGGGGCGTGCCCGGGATCCGAACCCGGGCCGCCAGCATCAGAGCGCGCACACTTAACCGCTAAGCCACGGAGCCGGCCCTAATTTTAACTATTATACTAATTACACTACTATTACGTTATAACTGGAAATTATATTTTAAATTCAATATAGAAAAATACCAAAAAGAAAAATACAAACATTTGATTATTAGATTTTTATTTTGCCATCTCTTATTCCTTTGGTTTGAAACTAGACATGTGACATGTTTCTTCTGCACTAAGATGTCAATGTCAAGTCTCATAATTCACTTTCAATGAGCAAAACAGAACTCAGCCTTGAATCCTTTAACTGGGAGAACTATTTAGTTTTATTTAGTTTCATTTAATGGACTCTAAAGCTTCTTAAATATTAAATACTAATTTAAAAACAGAGATAAGCATGGTAGTTAACATGTAAACCACGTAACCACATAAAAGAGAGACTGCTGGGGGCCAGCCCCGTGGCTTAGCAGTTAAGTGCACGCGCTCCGCTATTGATGGCCCGGGTTGGGATCCGGGTGTGCACCAACGCACCACTTGTCCGGCCATGCTGAGGTGGCGTCCCACATACAGCAACTAGAAGGATGTGCAGCTATGACATACAACTATCTACTGGGGCTTTGGGGAGAAAAAGGGAAAAAAAAAAAAATGATGAGATTGGCAATAGATGTTAGCTCAGGGCCGGTCTTCCTCAGCAAAAAGAGGAGGATTGGCATGGATGTTAGTTCAGGGCTGATCTTCCTCACCAAAAAAAAAAAAAGAGAGAGACTGCCATGAACAACAAGAACATTGGATGTGTACTCATTAACATGTTAACATTGTGGACTAGTGGGAATATAGGTGATTATTTTCTGCCTTTTGCTTTTACATTAAACTTTTTAAAAAATAATTAATATGCTTTTATAAAGAGATGAAAAGAAATATTTTTAAAGGGAGTCTGAATGTTCCTGGTGGCTAGACTGCCTTGTTATAGTGAGAATAGGTAATGATTCACTTTTGCCTCAAAGTCCAGATTTAAATAAGGATTGAATATATAACTTCATATCCTTACTCTCCTGGGTCATTTATTGTTGCATGAACAATTAAATTCAATCTTTGTTATTTCCCTTACATTATTATTGCTTTATCACAATTACAATTTTATTTATTTATTTATTTTTTTGTGAGGAAGATTGGCCCTGAGCTAACATCTGTCGCCAATCCTCCTCTTATTTGCTGAGGAAGACTGGCCCTGGGCTAACATCTGTGCCCATCTCCCTCCACTTTTTATATGGGACACCACCACAGCATGGCTTGACAAGTGGTGTGCCGGTGCCTGCCTGGGATCTGAACCTGTGAACCCCGGGCTGCCACAGCGGAACACGTGCACTTAACCGCTACGCCACTGGACTGGCCCCCACAATTATGATTTTATATGCTTAGAATGGAAAATCAGTTAAGCAGGTTTACGAGATGTTCTGAGAAGCCTGAAGAGCAGTCAGTTGAAACTCTGGAAGGCCTCACTGCTAGCTCAGTCCCAAACTGAGGGTTAAACCAGGCTATGCTGAGGACCCTACAGGCTGCCTGTGCCAGGGCACGGTGGTTGGAAGAACTGGGAAAGGTGGTGGGTTACTACTACAGATAACACAGTGACTTATTTATGCAACTGGAAAAAACTCACATACATCTTGGAGGTAGGAAAAGCTGATCTGCTCTGGATTTTATCTCTTCCAACATTTGTTATTCTTTTTTCTTTTTTAACTTTATCCAATATCTAGAACACAAGCAAGATAGCTTTAAAAGGTAGGGCTGAATACTTCCTTACAAGCCTCTAGGATGTAGGTGAGGAAAGAGAAGGGTGTCACACACATGGAAATGTACTTTCTTGTGGGCTTTCGGCGCCCATCAAAACAGGCCAGCTATTCCTGGGCCTTGGATCAGATGGCAAAAGCTAGCATTTCGTATGGAATTAGGGGCAATGTACCTGAGCTACATAATCAAGGCTCCTTTCATTTTTATCAGCAGGTAGATCACATGGCCACACTCCAGTGGATGACTTAGTCACTAAAGGAGAATCGGAGCTAAGCACTGGCCATTAACAAAAGGATGGAAAGGTATGTGTCCAGTGGCTGAAATGCCCCTGGAAGTATCTCACTAGGGCCAGAAAGGAAGCCAGTAACTCTCAGAGAAGAGGCTCTGGCTCAGGTGCTATCATTTATGAAGGCTGGGCCCCTCCCTTCACCCTACACTCTCTATATCCACTCACGCCAGTGCCCTGAGCTTCATTACAGGAGGCCTGCCTTTCATCTAAGTAACAGATGGCAGGGGGTAGGCAGGCATACCTAGCAAGGATTTTCAGTTCCACTTAAAAGAAGAAATTTAAAAACGGTCCTAAAATTTCTTCAGATGGGCTCATGCCTACATAAAGGACTGACCCTGAAATTGGGAGTGTGCAGGATCAGTGGGCTCCTGGCTGGGCTCAGTCCCCTACTCAGATAGGAATTTATTGAGGACATAGGAAACCTAATTCTTATTGAGAGATGATGACATTTGGACCAGGGTAGTTGCTTCTCCCCAAAAAAGCATGTAATATTCTTCACCGCTGGAGTGACTCGTCCTGTCTTCTCTTGAGCCAGCTGATGACTGCATTCTGCATGCGTCAGCCATGCAGCTGGATCTATAGTTTTGTTCTCCTAGCACGCTTTGTCATCCTCCTTCTTATGGTTTCTACTTCCTGCCCTGCTTTCCCTTTGGGTAATTTCTCCTCTTAAATCAGGAGGCCTTAGGAGAGGTATTCAATTACAAGATGTGTACATGATCCAGTCCTAGCCAATCACGCCATCCCCCTGGCCACAGTGACTGGTTTAGCAAACGTCACGTGACCCAAGCAGGACCACAGTCTCCATGGGACTTTTCAGTTGGGCTAAAATGGAAAACTGCTTTTTAAAAAAACTGTTTAAAATAAAGAATTTTAAACATATGCAAAAGTAGTGAGAATAATACACAACTCCCTATACCCAAAACCCAGCTTCAATATTTATCAACTCATGGACAAGCTTGAAAAAGGATAAACTGTCTTTTTCCACTGGGGCTGTTGGACCGAGGAGGATGGTGCTGCCAAGAGGCATCATGTCTGTCAGTGGAGAGAGTCTGACTTCAAAATAAACCCACAGAGAGCGGAAGTGAGGCAGAGCCCCGAGGACTCCATCTGAGCTCCTGAATCCAGCTGAGCCTGAAGCCACTGCCACCGCTGTACTTCTTTCCGCTTAAGCCAGATTTAGGAGAATTTCCGTCACTTGCAAAATGTGTCGTCCAATATGAAAACCTTAAAGGAACACTTGATAAATAATTTTTAAAATCTTGGGTTTATTTTTGAGGTATCTGGGAAATATAAATTCATGGAAAATCTTTAAGAGGAACAAAGGAGAAGGGGAGCTCTAGACATGAAAACAAGACCATCAGCATTTTTATTTCACTCTGTTCAAAGGATAACTTCAATCCCATTGAAGTAACAGCCATCTACTAAAAAATTTGAACACAAATATTAGTAAGAGATGCAACAAAGGGTGAACATTTTTACCCTTAAAAAACTCACAAACAAAATAATCAAGTCCCCAAACCCATTCAGAGTCTCTGATTCTGAATTATCTTCAAAGCAATGGATGAATGAATATAATCGCTCCCACATTAGCATTATGCTATGCCACTCTTGGGTATGCAATGAACCATTTTCCTGGCTGTTCCTTCACCATCCACTTCGACAGGACAATACTTACACTTCTGCTTTGCTAGTTCTTGTACTAGATCCTCATACACTTGTGAAAAGACATCCTCTTCAGATTTTGTTCCATCTAGGTAAACTGAGAAGGGCAAAAGAGAGCAGTTCAAATGCTAACAGGATTATTAGTAAAGGATGCTTACTCTCGCACCTGACATCTCTTGAGAATACCAATAGGTTTCACCAAAGAACATAACTTAGAAAGAAATTAATAGCCATTAGAGAAAGAAATAGATAATAGCCAGGTACAATAGGTAAAAAATTTTGGTTTATTACAGAGAAATTCACACCAGCTGATGTGAAAATTATTAAAGAAAAAAGAAAGAAACACTTAAGTGGCATTGTGCATGTGACACTTTAGGAGCACGGAAGAGGTGCCTTCCCAAAAGAATCATTTAAGGGAGTAGTACTCCAACCTACTTATGCAACAGGATCACCTGTGAAACTTCTGAAACCATGCAGGGGTCTGGGCTCTGCTTCATGTACTGAATTCGAATTCTCCAGGCCCAGGAGACATGTGACAGAGTCAGTTTTGGAGATAAAGTAGAAGTTATGTAGGTTAAAGGAAGGAAAGGGCCTTCTAGTCAGAAAATCGCAGAGGTAGGGAGGTAGGTGAGAACTCTGCCTGTTAAGGAAAAGATGCAAAGTTTGGAAAGGCTAGAATGTGGGGAGGCAGAACAGTGCAGAGAAGAGACTTGAGAGCAAGGCTGCGCCTTAGTCTTTCGAGATTCTGATGTCTGGCTGTTTTGGTTTTATCCTGGAGAGCTGGAGATTCTTTGAGGGTATTTAAGCAAGGTAGGAGCATGGTTAGATTTGGATTTTAGATTGAGAGGGAGAGAGGGGCAGCAAGAAGAGGATGTCCCTGAAACCAATGGTCCAAACTGGAAGTGGTGTGGCGAGAACGTCAGCCGCGGCTCCGGGGATGGGGAGGACGGGTGGAACTGGACTGAAGAAGGGATGATAACGGCTGCCAGACCATGAGGAGGCCCCCTGTGCTTTCTGACATAGCTCCCATGGAGGCCACGAGGCTTCTCACAATATGGCCAATTCCTTTTATTCTGAAAAGTATACATCAGTTCTGATTCCTCTGCCCCCATTCCAAAGCTTTCTCTCTCCAGCTTTCTGTATCTTCTCCGTGTTGAGCTCTGGATCCCAGCAATCTGTTCTTAGCCCAGGCCCATAGATCCAGGCATCTCAACCCCATTATGTGCAAAACAGACCTGCAGTCCTCCCTTACAATTCTGCAACACCTTCACTTTCTTCTGTTTTCTGAAATAACAACTGCCAGTTCCCAAGGTGTTGTCCTTGACACCTCAATTTTCGGCACCCTCCGTATCTATTCTATCACCCAGTTCTATTGAGTACATACATCTAATATTGCACCCTCTACACCCACCCTCCACAGAGCCAGAAGGATCTTACTAAAATAAGAATTTGATATCTACCACGTCCTTGCTTAAAACCTCTCTGTAGAGGGCCTCCCACTTCTCTTAGGATAAGAACCCAAGTCCTTAAATGGCCTATGACCCTTCCTGTATCACCAGCATCACTTCTCGCCCCTGGTTATCTCTACCACAAACACACCAACCTTCTTTCAGGTGCTGCTCATTCTTTCCTGCCCCCTGGCCTTTTCGTGTGCCAGCCCCACTGTCTGGAGTGATAGTCTATCCCCCCAACCCACCTCCTTTTGTCCAGTTAAACCTATCAGAGTGTGTGGTTTAAATGTGGCTTCCTCAAGGAAGCCTTCCCTGATTGCTGGGACTTGGGCAATCCCTTGGAGCTCAGTGTCACAGTCAGCCCAGCTAGAAGGACAAGCTTGTGCAGTTAGTGTGTTTATCTGTTTCCCTGGTAGAATGTAGGCTCATAAGAGCAGGGACTGGGTCTGCCTTATTTCCCTTGATATCATGAGGGCAGTGCCTTGTACATGGAAGGCGTTCAATCCATATTTGTTGAATGACCAGCTAGAAGGTGACAAGCTTTGAGAAGAGCCATAGAGAGAAAAACATAAACCAGGAAAGCCAGTTGTGGAAGGCGGGGAGCCCAGCGTGTTCTGCCTTAGAGTGTCCTTTATAATCTAATACATGAGAAAAATGCCTCCTAAGGTCCTTTCTTTTGTGTATTTTGAGGCAATGACAAGTAAAAGGCCCTCCATGGAGGGAGAAAAGGGTACTTACCAATTTGCCATGTGACGTCCTCCATCTCTTGTCTGTGCTTCAGATACATGGGCCACACATGGCCATCAAAGTACCCTGGTGGGTCTGGAGGCTCATAGACCCTGGTACTGTCAAAACACGTAGGAAACTTTACATTGACGGAAACACACAATTGATAAAGTAAAATAATGGTCAGGATAATGGAAAATCACTTGGAGATTGAATCTAAACAGGATTAAGACTACACATTTTAGACTCAACGCCAGTTACAAAGACATTTCAACAGATTTAACTCTCTGATCCACAAATTAACTTTGTAATTCACTATCACTCATAATTATCTTTTTTTCCCCTCTAGTGCTTTATAAAAGAATTAGGAGACAAATATCAATGTAAATAATGATAGAGATACTGATATGTTGGCTTAAGCTTTAAACTAATCAGTGTTCTTTGTGGCTGTAGCAGAATACAGGCTCACTAATTTAAAATCATAATCAAGATGGGATTGCTTCATATGAAGATTTAGGGAGATGAGCCAAATAGCTTATATAAGGGCCTTTTCTCAGAAAAGTAATTTGCATTACTCCACATGGATGACCATTTATGGAAAAAGGTTTTGCTCTTTGTGTGAAAGAATCGAGGCTTCCCTTGTCTGAAAAATGACATACGTACATCGCTCAATAATGTTGTTTCCTCGTTTTTCCTAAATTTTGTCTTTTGAGTTGCAATCCACAAAGGTGATTTCAAAACTTACCTCCTCCTCCTCTTACATTCTTCATATGGAATGGTCAGAAAATAGCTTCTATTCCATATGGTGTCAAGGGGCCTAAAATAACGGTATATTTAGTTCACAAGGTTTTTTCTCCATTCATTCAGAGTCAATATTATAGTGAAAAAGGCTTACTTGTAATTAAAAAGAAGGAAACCTTCGACGATTAAAATGGGAACTTCCTCAGCACTTTCCCAGTCTGTTGATACCGGAGAGTGTCTTGATCTTTCCATCCAGCAGGAAATGGCACACATCATTTTTTCCATGTTAAGCGCTTCAAGTACTTCACACAAACAAATAAATATAAGAAATCAATACAACAAAAGTTTTATGATGTAGCTTTTTATGATGAGTATATTCAGGGATCTATAAATGTATAAAATAACACTTTTATTTAACCTTCAAAACACCTAATAACAAATGTTTTAGATAAATTTAAACTCTAATATTGATAAATTGGTACGTTTGAAACATTTTTATTATGGAAAATTTTAAACATATAAAAAAGTAGAGAGTAGAGTATAATGAACTCCCATGTCCCCATTACTAGTTTTGACAATCATAAACTCATGGCTAATCTTGCTTTATTTAATAAGATAAATAAGAGGTCTTGTTAAATTATTAAAAGAATTTACAAAGGTCACGAATATGTCATTTTCAGAACTCTAAAATGTGCATATTTTTAGAGCTTACAATTGTAATTCTAGAAAAGCATCCTATCACAGTGATTCTCAAAGTGTAGTACATAGACCAGGCGCATCAGCAACACCTGAGAACTCAGAAATGCAAATTCTCAACCCTACTCCAGAACTACTGAATCCAGCCATCTGGGTTTAGGTTTTTTAGTGGGAGGTTTTAAAATTATGGATTAATTTGTCTAATAGATATAGGGCTATTAAGATTTTCTCTTTGTTCTGGTGTTTTTGTAAGTTGCATTTTTCCAGGAAATTGTCAAGTTCATTTAAGTTTTCAAATTTATTTGCATAAAATTGTTCATAATATCCTCTTATCTTTTTAATGTCTCTAGGATCTGTAGTGATATTACCTGTTTTGTTTTTGATATTTGTAATCTGTGCCTTCTTTATTTTTCTCTTGATCCATCTTGTTTTACCTGTTTGGGGTTCACTCAGATTCTTGAATCTGTAGGTTTATGTCTTATGCCAAATTTGAGACATTTCACACCATTACTTCTCTGAATACTTTTTCAGCACCACATTGTTTCTCCCCTCCTTCTAGGACTCCAATAATATGAATGTTAGATCTTTTGTTACTCTCTCACGTTTCTGTTCATTTCTTTTCAGTCTATTTTCTCTCCATTGTTCAGATTGAGTAATTTTTATTGTTCTGTCTTCAGGTCCACTGATTCTTTCCTCTGTCATATTTATTCTCATGTTGGGCCCATTCAGTGAGTTTTAAAATTTAGTTATTGCATGTTTTCAGTTCTAAAATTTCTATTTGGTCCTTTTTCACATCCTCTATTTCTTTATTGAGGCTTCTATTTTTCACTTGACTCAAGAATGTTCACAATCGCTTGCTGAAGGCTTTTTACGAATGCTGCTTTAAAATCCTTGCCAGATAATTCCAACATCTGTGTCATCACGGAGTCAGTGTCTTTTGCTTGTCTTTCTTATCGTTTCTCATTCAAGCTGACAGTTGCCCGGTTCTTGATATGACGAGTGATTTTCAGTCTCATCCTGGAAATTTTGAGTATTATGTTGTGAGGCTCTGGATCATATTTAATCTTCCTTTTTTGCAGGCAGTCACCCTGTTCAGGTGTAGTGTCCAGGTCCAGGTGGGGGTGGATGAGCTCCCTGCAGGGCCTCATCAATACTGGAGTCAGGGCTGCCATGGGGGGAAAAGGGGAAAGCAGAGTGCTAGTGTGGCTTTCCTGTGGCTCAGTGAGGATGGAAGCTCAGCTCTTACTGGGTCCTGCGGACAGTAACTGACACTCCCTGGGTGAGAAAAGTGGAGTGCCAACTCGCCCCACCTCCCGTTGCCGCATTCTGCCTTCTGCTGCCGGGCGGGTGTGAAAGCTCAGTTCCCAGCTGGGCTCCACTGATGTGACCCCTGTGGATGCTGTGGAGGGCCAACCCCCACCCTCCTGGTGCCAGGTGGGCCCAGCGGTATAGCACCCCACTGGCCCTGCTATCACCACGAGGGGAGCATGGTTTTTCCTTTTGTGTTTGGTTAGAGTAGGGTAGACATGATCAAAATGATTTTCTATTCTGCTGGGCCACTTTTTTCAGTCCTTTGATTATAGAGAATAGGTTTCTTGGGAGTCTTCGTGTGTACCTACTGATGGTTCCATGCTGCACACTTCTCTAGCACCCCTTCCCGGATATATGCGAGGCAAAATGAAAGCACAGGGAACTCACAGCCATGTCATTCCTCAACTCCCCTCAGTCCCTAGTCAGTCTGCTCTCTTCTTTTCATCTTTCAGAGTTTTTCCTTGTTTGTTGTATTCCATCCAGGGTTTTCAGTTACAAGAAGGAAGAATAGTGAGGAATGAGGCCAATCCATCTTGGCTGGCACCAGAAGTATCATTAGTTTTAACATATTTTCATTATCATTCTTAAAAATATTTTCTAATTTTCACTGTGACTTATTCTTCGACCCGTGGGATATATAGAAGTGTTTTGCTTCAGTTCAAATGCGACAGTGTCTGGGATTTGCTTCAAAATAATATAGAAGGAGAAAGTGGGTGAGGGTATACATGAAATATAATTGGCCAAGAATTCATCGTTTTTAAAGCTGGATGGTGAACTCCTGAGAATTCATTATACTTTTTTGCCTACTTTTGTATATGTTTAAAATTTTTCATAAGAAAAAGTTTTTAAAAATCAGAAAGAAAGATACTGATTAATTTTCCAACACTTGGGAATTTTCTACTTACTCTTTTGTTATTGATTTCTAATTCAGTTCTCTATGATTAGAGGATATCTCTGTATCACTTCAATCCATTGAAATGTATTAGGACTTGCTCCATGTCCTTGTGTATGTCTTCCATTTTGGTTAATGTTCCATGTGTTCTTCAGGAAAAAAATGTGTATTCAGCTGTTGTACACGTTCTATATATGTTAGTTTGGTCAAGTCTGTTAATTGTGTTGTTCAAATCTGTTATACCCTTATAATTTTTGTTAGCTTGTTCTATTAGTTACTAAGTATTAAAATCTCCCACAATAATTATAGACTTGTCTATTTCTCCTCTTAGTTTTGTCAGTTTTTGCTTAATGTATTTTGAGGTCATATTATTAGGTGCATACAAATTTTATATTGTTTTATCTTCCTGTTTAATTGATCCATTTATCTCTCTTTTCTCTAGCAATACTCTTTGCCTTAAAGTTTACTTTGCCTAATTTAGTATAGTTATACCAATTTTCTTTCAGTAGGTGTTTGCATGGTATATCTTTTTCTACCCCTTTCATTGTCTACTTTTCTATATCCTAATATTTAAATATATCTCTTATGAGGAGCTTTTTTTTTTTTAAATCAGGTTGACAATCTTTGGTGTATTTTAGTTCATTTAATTTAATGTAGCTACTGATATATTTGGTTTAAATCTATCACCTTACAATCAACTTCTAGTTTTCTACCATCCTTTGATTTTTTAGTTCTGTTTTTTACTTATTTTGTATTTATCAACTATATTTTAATGATTCCGTCTATTTATAAACTTGATAGCTATACATTTTTAAACTATTCTTTTGGTGGTTATCATAAAGATTTCAACGTTACCTTGACTTACTTTAAATGTGTACATTTACCTAAAAAGTTCAGATTTTTCCTTAAGATAGATTCCTAAAAGTGGGTCACTTGAACACATGGCATGAATATTTTAAGGTCTATGGGACGTATGCTCAATCTCCTTTCCAGAAAGGTTGTACCAATTTATACTCCCACCTATGACAGTTTTTGTTTTATTGAGCCTGTGCCATCATTAGATAATTATCATTGCTTTAAAAATCTGTTTACTAGTGTGGGAGATCAAGATTTGGCCACCCTGAAATATATCTCTTTACCTTGATTGTTTTCTCTGAAGGACATTTGACCTCCCCCACTAACTGCCTAAAGAATTTGACATGGTGGCTCCTTCCTGGAACAGATCTTCTATCATGATGGCTGTAAAGATAATGTAGGATAGAGATTACAAGAGCAAAGGCACCAAGCCTCTTTTATCAAAAACTCTATCTCTCCCTGACCAAATTATCAATAGATGACCCTGAAAAGAATTGTCCTTCTGCCCTCTGAAGTCCCAGGCCACTACCCACCCCCAACACGTTCCTTCGCCTTTAGCTGCAATACTTAAGCAAGCAGCTTAGACAGAGGGACGAGTTGCTCATTTCTGAGCTTCTCCCATGTATACATGTTATTAAACTTGGTATTATTTTCTCCTGCTAACCTGTCTTGTTGATTATTTGGCCAGCCAGAAGAACCTTAAGGGAAAGGGCAGAGGGAGATTCTCCCTCTTCCCCCGACACTAGCTAAATGGGAAAAAAAGTAAGTTATATTTCTTTGACTACTTCTGAGGTTGACTTTTTATTGTACATTTATTAATCAAATAATCTTTTGCTTTAGTGAATAACTTACTCATATCATTGGACGTGTTTCAGTTGGGATATTAGTGTTTTTCTTATCAGTTTGTAAGAACTCATTTAAATTAGGAATAATTCTTTATTAATTGTTGAAAATAGTTTTTCCTTGTTTAACTCTTACTTTGTAATAATCCTCCTTACTAACCTTTAGAGGAGGGGAAGAGGAGAAAAAAACATTGCTGGCTGCAGCTCAAGACACAAGAACAACCAGCCAGTCAAGAATTTTGCCTCTTAAGAATATCATGTGTCTGTAAGAATTGATTGCACAACATTTCTCCTCCAAGGTTATTAAAGTTAAAAATAAAGAACGTATTTTATAACGTTTTAAGAGAACTCTCTCTGTCGCTAGCTTGCATAAGCACTCAATGATCATCTTATAAAAGCTGATAAGACCATTAAATATAGTTTATTAGCATGATATTCTTTACAGGAAAATAGACTTTTTTTCTGACGGACTTTGATCCTTTGGCTTCAAAGCAGTGTTAGACTGGGCAAAGGAGTGAGGTGAACCCATGTAAAAAATATTCACTAACCTTTTTGAGCAGTGAAAAAAGAAAACAGCTTTCCAGTACCTTGGTCACTGGAAAGGTAAGCTCAGAGGATGGGCCTTAGAGTGTGCTCCAGGCAAGACTGGGGGAGGGGGAGGGGGGTAGAGTTATGTATGCCCCAGGCAGGGACAGGGAGAATAACTGCGAACCCACCCTGCCCCAGCTTCAGAAAAAAAATCTGTTGTTCTAATGTTTTCAGTTTTAAATATAAAACTGGGGAAAAGGTATCACTTATTTAAACAGCGGAACATAAATCAGAAACATGTACAAAAGCAGGTTTAAAGTACAGCAATATATTTAAGCACATTTTGAGACTGTCTTCATAGATAGCGAAGTTATTTGGGTTTGAAAAAGAAAATGAACAACAGCGCATAATGTTTACAAGCTCAACTACTTACCATCATACTGCAGAAATCCATTTTTATCTATCTCTATCTCAGACTCTGGCTGGAAAAATAATAAAGTATCTATCAAAACTGTGCCGTGCAGAAATAATACAATTATAGAATGAAGAGGCAATAAAACTTTAATAAACGCTTGTTGATGAGGATTAATAAAATCAAAGATCAGCACCAATCAGTGGTGCCATCTAGTGGATAAGTAACACTACTGCATTGAGCTTCCCTTCATGGCAAAACCTGTATCACTCAGCAAAGGCTTTTTGGATGTAATTCAATTACTTTGCTACTAGAACTTTTTTGTGTTAAATAAATTATCTAAGAAGTTTTGCAGATACCTTAAAGAAATCATCCTGAGATATGACACTGCAATTTGGGAGACGTTTCTGCAAATTCTTAGCGAGTGTTGTCTTCCCACCATTTGTCACACTGAACCGAAAAAGAAAAGAAAACTTGAAAATACCAGGAAGGAAGATGCATTAAAAAACATAAAACATTTTAAAATGATCTTAGAAAACGGATATTTAAAAAAATATTTAAGAAAAAATTACTTCTTTCATAAATAATGCTTTTTCTGTTGGTAAAACCATAGGTTAAGAAGATCTGATGGACTAAACGACGAGAAATAAGCTGGGAAGCATGGAGGAGAAAGGTACTACTGAGCAAGTGAACTGGGTAAAACTAACACTTAAAAATACAGCTACTGCGTTGAAAGCAAACGAATTTTTTTGTGTATGGTGAGACAGTCACAGGATTCACATGCAACACAGAGAATACGAGCAGCACGTTTTAGTGCCAGTATATAAAACTGCACATGGTCCTGTGATTTTGTTTCAGTGTAGAGGCGGCTTATTGCAAGCTCATCTATCCTGAATTCACATCTCCTGGGTGGTGCCTGCTTTTCCCCTAATCTCTCTTCACTTTGGGGCTGGACGGGAGGTCCACTGTAGTTTATCATATCCGGTCAGTTATTTGTTCTTTCTGGCTGGACTGTGACATCGAGGACAGTGGGGACCCTGACTATCTCCTCTGTGTATCTAGTTTTCCAGCATCCGGCACTGTGCATAGCAGAGGGGAGGCACTTCTACAGTCAGTCATTCAACCCAAGAGTTCTTTTACCCGGGCTGAGGCTCTTCCAAAGAGTCTATGGACAGATTTGGGGTCCTTGTGAACTTGAATGGGAAAGAAATTACATCTTTATTTTCACTAAATTCAAACAGAATTTTAGCATTTCCTTTAGTTATAAATATGTCACAAACAACAGTATTATTAATAGTAGCTGTGACTTTGTCACCAATAGAAATCACAGATATTTCCATATCATGTTGCAGTCGGGCAGACATCTTGAAGTATTACTGACACTCATTATTATTTCAAATTTACGGCAGGTTTTAGACCCACCACTGGACATTGTTATGAGTTAACAAAGAAGTGTATATATTGCAATGCTACAAGTTTGTTTTTTAAAATATTTTTATAACTATATTATCATAACTAGTTTCCTTTGTATTCCTGTATTTTATTTTGTGCATTTAAAACCACTACTCTGAGAAGTCAAGACTTCACCATACCACGAAATGCCCACAGCACAAAAAACTCCTGACTGCACGTTTATTTGCAAGAACTTGTGCTTAACCCCAGATAAAATGAATCGCAATGATTATAATCTAGAAAGGGGAAAAAGAACTAATATTTATTCACTGAAATCGTTTATGGGATATAATTCAATTATTACCCAAATACCTTATATCTACAAAGTAGAAGGAACTTGAGTCACAAGTTTTTTTTCATTTAACCTTAGAACACACATGGGTAGGATATGGGAGATCTCCTTGAAAACAGGGAAAAGGGAATAGGTGTTACCCTGTACATCGAGAAAATACTGTTATATATCTTTCCCCCTTTAAAAAAATGTCTATAATCCATATTGAATGTCCATAGTTCAGTTACTGAATTTTGGCTTAAAATAGACAGTAAACAGGGGTAACTATTACAGTATGAGCAATCTAGCTAGAAAATGTGTCATTTTCTAGACTTATTTCTTTGTTAAGATCATGTAGTCGAACCATTAGTAATTACACCCCTTCTCACTGACTTAACCGGAGCCAATGAGAAATAAGCACCCTATTTTTGTAGATTTGGAGGAGATGGACCAGCTAGAAGGCAGTCCAGGTCAGGGGGACCGGAAAGGAGGGAAAGTGCTATTTAACAGTCTGAGCCTAGGATCTATACTTGGAATATAACCATCCTGGTCAGGTGACACCTTAGAACTCAACTCTTCTCCTCCAGCATGCTCCAGCAGGCTCACAGCCTCCCCGCACGTGCCGTCCACCCTCAGGGGCAGCGTGCCCTGACAGGAGTATCTTCTAGCCTAGGATCTGGGGAAGGAAAATGGTGACTACTTGGGGCCACTTCCTCCTTTGTTCACAACACCCAAATAAATGCAACTCCTGGCCCCTTGATTTTTTATGTGCCAGGTGACAAGACGGGTCATTGTATTTGGAACATGACAGTTGGCTAGGGAGAAGTTAAAAAGGCTGTCTGTAATTACTCAAAAAAGTGGAGAATCCATACTGCAACAGGTAGATATTAATATTCCCATTTCCAGTTGAGGAAACTAAGGATTGAAAAGTTATATACTCATAAAACTTGCCCAAGGGAACACCTAGCAAGTAATAGAGATGGGATACCAAGTCTAACTCCACCGCCCAAGAATCTTACGTTTTTTTAAAATCATAGAATTTTACAAGAATCTGATGAAGGTTATAAACCCTTTCTCCAGAAAAACGAACATCTTCACACATGCACTAAATTTTCAGGAGGTTCACGGATGCCCCTGAATCCTTTAGAACCCTTACTATCCCTTGCAGTCTCAATTGAATCATCACTTCACAGGGCAGCAAGCGGTGAGTACATGAGAAAGATACAACATAGCGAGTTTGGAGGAAGGAAGAAAGGCAGGAACTGCAGCTGAGTCTGGCAGGGGCTTCACAGCAGCAGCAGCACTAAACTGAGATCCTGGCACTTGCTGAGGAACAGGCAGTGAAGAGGAGGCTTTCTCAGGGAGTTATGGGTAGTGCCTCATGCACATGGCAGGTTTCTAGACAGAGGGCACTGTACTGGAATATTGAGAAGAGGGGACTTTTACTCACACACATGCAGAAAGAAAGTCAGAGTGGATCCTGTAGTGGACTTGGTCGCTGCCTCCCCAGGTTCCACCCGTTTTTGAGGTCTGGTTGGAATCCACCCCACTCTCAACTCCACAGTTGAGAGGGCCCCACTGGCCTAAACCAATCAAGGTCATCCCATCCCTTTTGCCACAGTGACTGTGGGTATGTGACACAGCTGGTCCAGTCAAAGGGAGACCCACAACCTAGGGGAAGAGAAGCACTTTCTTCCCCCGAGCTGGTCACAGCTGGCAGCCCCTTGTGACCAAAAAGTAGAGCCAACTCTAGGATGAATTCAAACGGAGGAAGATACAGAGAAGAGACGGAGAGAAACTGAGTCTTTGGTGACACCACTGAGCTCCTGTATCAAACCTTTCCTGCAGCCTGCCTGCTCCTAAAGCTCATACATTTCTTTTATTATTTATGGGTGGTCTTCATATACCAGGAAATTCAGATTTCATTCTAGATAATTGCGAACCACTGAATATTGTTCATCAGGTGAAAGACTAATTTAAAAATTTTATGTGAAGATTAAACTGGTAGAGGTACGTAGGAAAGACTAAGAAGGGGAGCCTGGAATTTGGGAATGAGGGCCTGAATTAGGATTGTGGTTGTGAGTGTGGAAAGGAAGAGACAGATAAGAAAAGCAATGCAGAGAAAAACTGAACTTCAGTTCTGATTAGCTGGGAGCAAGACAAGGCAGAGTTCTGACATTTAATTCATTCAATTTTACTTCTCATTACTTACTATAGTAATATAATACAATGATCTCCCCCAAATTACAAACTTGTAATTTCAGTAGTCTCAAATATTTTATTAACTGGACCACACATAACGTGAAAGTACTCAGAAGGAAGATGAACCTAATACAGTAGCAAAACAAATAATGTCCTTCTGTGTTGTTGTTGATGCCTTATTTGCGTGCCCACCTCTGGTACCATAGGTACCATGTGATTTAGGACACTTTTGAGGGAGAGGGGCAAACGACTAATAATTATGTCAGGGCAACAAGGACTAGCTCAAGATATAAGGTCACCCTAAGGATGGGGAAAAAGGAGTGGAGGTGAGGTGGTTCCTTATTCCTCATGTGCAAAGCTGGGCATAACAGGAAAGAAATGATAGGTGTTCTCCTCCTTTCACACTGGAGGAGCAGCCACACGGGGAATGACAAATCGCCCCCAACCAAGGTCGCATCTGACCAGGCCTTGCCTCTGGTGCCTGCTCCAGAAAATAAATGGTAAAGCAGGCAAACCTGTTTACTGACTCGCCCGTTTCTCTGCTTTTAGGAAACTCTCCCATCTCCTGTTGGCATTTACGTAGCCAACGCTCCACTGTTTTAGATCTGACAGTGGCCGGCTCTCTTCTCCAGGACTCAGGACTTCTCCATGCTCCTCCTTCCCCAACTAGGTCCACATGGAGACACCCTTTGGACATCCTGAGTATGTCGACCAGCTGTCTGTAGCAAAACTACTCACCCACTGATTCCAATGACAAATGTTTTCATAATTAGCTTTGAAAATCACGTCTTCCTAAAATATCCTAAAATTAAAAAAAAAAAAATCAAATGCTTACCATTTAGATGTCTAAAAGGGCAAAAGAAAGATCCTAAACTAGGAGGGCCAGGTGAGGGGGAAAGATGACTGCGAACCCTGGGTTACCCCATCCCTGGATTACCCACACGCCACGGAAGAGCTTCACACTGCACTGGCTTCTCTCTGCCACACGCTCCTGCTAAGCGCCAACAGCCGGTGTGCGCCCAGGGCCTGTAAGCCGAAGCCAAGTGAACTGAAAGGCCCCCACGGCCAAGCATTGACCTCTGAAGATCTGTTTTCAAGGGCATGGGGGAGTTGTCAGGCCACAGAGCACACTACAGTTTCATGCTCCCCTTGGCTTAGCCACGGTGTCTCTTCCCTGCAGGATTCAATTACCCAGGGATGCCCATTCGCCCCATGGCAGGGAACCTGCAGAGCTGGCTTGTCTCTTCCCTTCTGAAATGGGGAGAAAGTCACTGGTAGCCAGAGGCAAAAGGAAGTTAATTCCCTTTAAGGGCGCTATTTCCTTACCCAAAAGCCTAAGTCTAGGGCCACAGTAGATGAACTTTTTCAGAAATGGGCCAGATAGCAAATATTTGAGGCTTTGTGGGACAAGAGGCAAAAGGAAGGTTATTATGTAGGTACTTACGTAATGAGAGAAAACAAATTTTCACAATTTTTTGATGAAAGTCAAGACATAATAATAATTGAGTACAATTCTTTTTCGTAATGCATGTCTACTAATGAGAAGAGTGGAATTCCTTTTTTATGGGAGAACATTCCCTTATTGGATCTCAAAGTGAGTGTTCCCCATCATGAAACTGATTGCAAATGTTCAGGCGGAGGGCCAGGTTTTAGCCACAGGTCAGCGTCTGCTGACCCCTGGTCTAGAGAGTGGAGGGCAGTTTTGCACATGCCCCCTAAGGCTCACCAAAGTAGTCTTGTGGATATTCCAAGGACCATTTTCATCTCCTCAAGTGAAAAGGTGAAGCTCAGCTGCAGGGAACCTTAGAGTAGTGGTTCTGAAGGTGGTCTCTGACTGATGCTGCTCTCTATTCCCCAATGCTCTGGCTGGGTGATCAGGAACCCAAGCTGCGGCAGGTGGGGTGAGTGGTGGCTGAGCTGGAGGCTCCCAATTCCTACCCCTGACTTGTGTCCAGGCTCCCCCGGGAGTAAGGAGTGGGGAGAAGAGCCTAGTGGAGATAGCGTTGTTGTTCCTTGGCTTCTTCTCAGTTTATCCAGAATATTCCAAATCCAATTGCTTAACGTTTGGTTCTACTTTCATTAACAAGCCTACATAAGACAAGACTTCAGTAATGACTGCAATAAAAATAAAATAACAGAACAAGTTGGACATCTGAGTTTCACCCGGAATTGCACTGTTGAAGATACATCTCCATCCAAACTGCCAAAGTGTATTAAGGAACAACTGCTTACGATGAGTATCGTAAAATAAACTTTTGCATTCTCATTTTTCTGCTTTTGAATTTTATCTTACCCTATTCTTATTTTTAATATGTCAGTGAAAGGCTGCCAACCACCTTTTTTGGGAAGGGAAAGGCTGCCCTTTATCTCGAGATGGTATCTTTCTTACTTTCTTGGTGGTAAATGTCCTTTCTCCTATGAAATTATGTTGGCAGTAGACAGTAGATTGATGTCCTCCTTTGGCCAAAAAAAAAAAAAATCATAAAACATTGTCACTCCTTGCCCCCACCTCGTCTCTTTTTGGATAGTCTGTCAGAGCACACACTCTCAAGCCCAGAGAAGGCCAGCCTTAGCGATCACTTAGTCCACTCCTTCATTTTGCAGAAGTCGAAACTGGCCCAGACAAGGGAGCGTCTTGCCCAGGGTCACACAGCTAGTGAATGGAAAAGCCAGAAACGAAAATAAACCATGCAATTTAACTTCTTTCCTCTTTCCAAGCTGCTAAAGAGCTCTTTATTACTAGGAGCAAAGAAAGGATGTTGCACACGTGCTGGCTTAACTGTGAGGCTCTTGTGTATAATTGATGTCATTTTTATTGATGTATTATTGATGGGTGTGTATTTGCAGTGTACACTGAATGGCAAGCACTGGTCCCCTGTGCTTCTTGCCACATCTGTGCCTACATACACATGAGAATATTGTATCAATTACACCGCATGTAAATAACGAATGTGGTTGTGGCACTGGAAACAGGCTTGAGGGGGTTATTTAGGTGGAAACTCTAGCAATTCAGAAACCAGGAGTGAGGGAGAGTCAAGAACCTACTTATAAAATCCCTTGGGCTCAAGAGGGAACTCCCATAGTCAAATGCAAGTTTTTACCAAAACAGGAACCCTTAGTTTTATGTTAATCAGTAGTCTCAGCCTGTCCAAGACAGTGTTTGGGTAAATGCTGGGCATTTACCCATTAGCAATGAACAGGTGACAATGTGGTGGGACGGGGGGAGAACTGGGAGAAGCAGACATAAGATGTGTGGCTGTGGTTAGGGTGGGCGTAGCAATTCCAGAAACCGTTTATTTCAAAAACGCTGTTGGATACACAAGGCAGCTTCAGATGAACTCCAAGTTCAGGCTGTTATTTCACTGCCTGTTGCCCTCTTTAAGAACTATTTTAAAATCACATTTAAAAAGCTTGCAATCAAGAGTTGCCAGGCTCCAAATATAGCAGCAGCAGACTCCATGAAGCAAACACAAGCTTAATCAACTATAAATCGTAATTCACTGCATGTCTCCGGAGGGACAACCATTTGGACCTTCCAGCCTCATCAATCCAGGGCATCCAATTAATAGGAATATATGCCACTTCCAATCTCGTGGGATATCTATGTACTCTATTCTCCCAGTAAGTGCAAAGCTTTCCTCAACAGCAGAGAGCCTTTGCATAGCGGGAGGAGAACAGACTAAGATTAGCCAAGAGCAAACCCGAAATGAGTAATTTTAATATTTTTATACTATTTTTTACCCTAAGTAAAATATGTGGTTGAGTGCTTTCTTCATAACTGCTATGTGTTTATTATATTTAATTTGTTTCACTACTAAACATGGTACATTTTAGATTCTAAACTGCAAAACGGTCAGAGGTGGCATGTGCAGAATCAGCAGGTTATAAGGAAGATTTCAACTCCCTAATACAAATGGATGACAACACGCTAACAAAATATTGTGCTTTTCAACGCGTCTAATGAGCAGTCTGATATTTTTAAGAGTGAAACGTTTTCAGACTTCTTATTTATCTTACTCAATAGATATTTTGATGATCTTCTCCCATGCGACAGGGAAGTCTTTTCCTGCTGTTGTTTAAACTTTGCTCCCTTTTGGTAAACAGAAATCTCCCAAGGATGGAGTTTGTGAATATGCAACCCATGCCCCCTTCCGTCAGAATCACTAGATCTTTCACTAACCCCTAGTAGAAACTCGGTAGCTTCAGTTCACATAAACTCTTTTCCTTGCCGTTTTTCTTCCTCCTAACACACAACTGGTTTATAATATTGACAGTGCTATTGTAAACTTATGCACGCTGCATTTCCTGTATGCTCCAGCCTTTGCTTCCCAGTGCAGAGTCAATCTGCTAGGTCAGAGGTCCGCAAACTCCTGTGAGGTGCCAGGTAGTAAATGTTTTCAGCTTTGCGGACAGCTGCTCAACTCCGCTGCGGTGAAGTGACAGCGGCCACAGACGACACATAAGCCAAGGAGCGTGGCTGTGTTCTAACAAGACTTTGTGGACACTGAAATTGGAATTTCATATAATTTTCCCATGCCACAAAATATTCTTTTGATTTACCTTCGGCCAAATAAAAATGTAAAAGCCATTCTCAGTTAGCAGGCCGTAGGCGGGCCATAGTTTGTCAACGCCAACGCTAGAGGAATGGAGATCAAGATCTGACCCTGTCCTAACAGGGTGACTTCTCCTAACAACCTGTACGTACTCTTGGAGGCAGACTCCCATTTTAAGGATTATTACGGGGCGCTAAGGCACTAGGCCATCACGAGTACACATGCTCCTTGGCAGGCCACGTATCAGCCCTTTCAGAGCGGTAAGAGTCCCAACAGGGTATGCGAGACGCAGCAGGGTCGGGCTCCAGCGCAGGAACCCTCTGGAAACACCTCCAGGCCCCAGTGAGACTAAGCGGCGCGGCGGGGCCAGGCAGGTACTCACCGGCCGCCGGTTCGAATCCCCGCAAGCAAAGCGGCACAGGCGACGGCCAAGCGCGCGCCTGTCACTAACTCCCCGCAACCCCCGGAGCTCGCTAATGAGAGGCCCAAAGCCCTTTGCTCCGCGCCGCTTCCGGGTCAGAGGCGGCCCAGACAGAGGGCGCCAACCGAGGGCTCCATTCCACCCGGGCCGGACGCGGCGACAGCTGCAACCCCGTCGGGCGGGGCGGGACTCCGGCGAGCTTGGCCCCGCGCGCGCCCCTGCAGGCTCCGACCCTTCCTC